CGATGATCAGGGTTTGTTGTGAACTATTCGTTAGAACTTCAATTTCGCGATCTTTCTAAAAATCCGCTTTATATAGAATTTTCCGAATGATGAAACCTTAATCAACTTTTCTCGAAATACATGCGCGATTTCCTACGAATCTCCTCTGCAACAACCATCCTTGAAACTCGCGAACCACTGATTAGCCGTTTGTTGGCCATTCAATGGAACGCCACTCACAGCTACTAGCTGACAGCACCAAGTATAAAAGTAGGACGGCAAGAATAGCTGATTGGATGTGGGCTGGATATTGAAAACAGTACATGCAAGTAGATGCCAATCGATTCCTCGATCCCAAAAACCTTTGGTCAAACTTTATGAAAAATCATTTTTTTCTCAAAAAAGGCCCTTTTTAGCAAAAAAAAGTCATCTGAAAAAAATTTCGAAAAACTAATGATGCCAATCGATTCTTCGACCCCAAAAATCTTTGGTCAAACTTTATGAAAAATCACTTTTTTCTCAAAAAAGGCCTTTTTTAGCAAAAAAAAGTCATGTAAAAAAAATTTCGAAAAACTAATGGTGACAATGGATTCCTCGACCCCGAAAACCTTTGGTCAAACTTGAATCTTTAATCTTTGATGTTTTTTTGCCCTCGATGTTTTTTTGCCCTTGATGTTTTTTTGCCCTTGATGTTTTTTTGACCTTGATGTTTTTTTGACCCTGACGCAGACAGACAAACAAGTAACGCTCGTCGCCGCAACTCGCTTAACCCTCGACTGAATATAGTCTACTCATTATCCATCGTTTCCTCATCGAATTCTATATTGATAATTATCGTCGAACAAACACACGTATTCTAAAATCTATACGCTATTCAAGAGTTGGTCTTTTTTACAAGAGGATCGTCTATAAGAATAATGTATAAGTTTTTTGTATACGTGTATTCGTTAAGTGATAGTTCTGAATATATAATTTCATGAGAAGCGATAGATAAGGAGTAGACTATATTCAGTCGAGGGTTAAGCGAGTCGCAGCGACGAGCGTTACTTGTATTTAACAGCATCATATGGCATTTGAGTCATTGAATTAATAATGGTGGACCAAGTATGTGAGATATCTTCGTCCAAAATTAAACATTTTTGTTGTATAAAATCTGAACAAGAAAAATATATCCAATTGTTTGTTCTTATATATAATTATATGCAACCTGTAAGTTGATTTACCTTTTAATACAAGTTCATTTGGATCAAGAACATCTTTCCATTTTGAAAGTTCAAAACCAGAATTCTTATATAATTCTCGCATTATTTTTGTTGGACGATTGATAGGAGATTTTAAGGTGTTTGGATTGACATTACAAATTTTCTAAATAAAAGCAAATTGCTGAACATATATATGTATATGTATATTTGAATAGAATTTGTTACTTGAACTTTTTCAAATGTGGTTTGATCCATATTCGGTTGAGAATTTGATGATGAAGCTGATTTCTATAGCAAAAAGTGAGAACTAGTCGTTAAAAAGAAGTTATAGTTATTTCAACAATGAGTTGTTGCTTTCATGTTTTAAAAGTTCATTAACAGTGCAGATGAAAACATCTCTCTACTCGTGGATAAAAAACACTTGAAAAATGTCCAACATGTTATACATGAGATTACTGACTAACTCTATTGATTAGGTGTTATTCAATTTTAATTCAGCAATATTTCAACTCCTTCAATTGTATTAATCCTAAACTTTTAAACTATCTTATTATCGATCCAAATGAAAGCTCTAGTGTGCGAGAAAGTCTCGAAAGCTTTTCGACTACTTAGATAGTCAAGTGACCAAATGCGTTCAATAGCCCTCTTTCGAACTGTAATAGTTGAACTCAGTAAGCATAAGTTTCGTCGAGTTAATAACACAAAAAAAGCTGAATATCTTCTGTTTTCAAAAAGACATAATATCTATGCGAACCATCGACAGTGATATTTACAGTTTGATCAAAGCTTGAATTTTTCTTTATCAGACCATAAACTTTTTCTAATTTTAATACACGTTTTTTAAGAAGATCAATTTCATTAGCCAAATTTTCACATTCTTTACATGATTCTAAAAAGAAATAAAAATCCATTTACATGAATATTCAAACCTTTCTATGTATTCAAATGTAGATGAAACTCACCTTGTACCACCATCGGATTTGTTTGTTGTTTTTTCTTATTTTTTTTTCTTTTTTAAATTTGTTAGATCAAGATTTGTCTTGATTAAATTTTCTTTATTCTTTGACCATCGATCACCTAAATCGAAAGAATAAAACTCGGCCAGCAATTATACTAATTGAAGAAAATGCCATACCTTCATGTTCACTAACAGGTGAAGCAGAAAGAGAACTGCTGTCCAGCTCTTCGTTTTCACGTTTTCCTGTTTTTTTAATTGTTGATCCAGAAGAATTTGGTAAAATACGGTTAAAATCATCGTCTTCGTCCTTGTCGAATCCTTAAATGACAATAACAGTTGGTTAGAATGAGGCATAGAACGGCTACTGGAAAATAATATTTTTCTAAATTTTCAGTCCCAGAAAATAACTTTCAGGGCTTCATTTTGCTCGACGAGCATCAGAAAATTATTCTTTAAATATTTGTGATACTATTGGTTGATTTGGTTTCGAATTATTTCTTATTTTTAAAAATTTCGAAAGGTGTATTTTGACAGAAAGAATTAGAAGCTCATTCAGAGTCATCCTTCTTAGATATCTGCTATAACATTGAATTAAAAAAGAATTAAGTACTCGCCTGATGTTGACGAGATAGATAAGAAATTTGTTGTTGTCTGTTTTGTACCAGTTGTTGTCATTGATTGTGTTGATTTTTTTGTTTGATGTATTGATGGTGAATATTCATCGTGGTCATCATCATCGATATTTTCTTCCATTGTTTTTTGATGAATATCATAAACACGAGGATGTTCACATTCATGTTCTGGAATAAAAATTTCTTCACTTCCAGCTTCTTTTGAAAACCGACTGGAAACTTCTTCCATTTCTTGATGGGTACCTAAAGCAGAAATTTCCACATTACTACCATTCAGCAAAGACAAGAGGTCGATCATACCGGTTTTAATAACCATTAACTTTTTTCGTCCACCAAAAGCTTTAATGTTACCAGATTGAGCACCAGCAGGACTAAGTGGATCAATATTGATAAGTGATGTTTTAATAATGGCATGTTTCTTCAGTTGAGGAAGCGAAACAACGGAAAAATCGGCATATTTAGATGTTTTACCAGCAGTTGTTCGTTGAGGACGTTGTGTAAATGTTACTGTACTCATCTAGAAAAAAATATAGAACTATGCAAACTTTAGGTAACGTTATGTAGGAAACTCCGATCTTTTGAAATCATCAAATTCAAAAAAATATGTCGTCGTACGTCAAATTAATCTAGAAGAGAAAATATTGATTTTTATTTTTTTGAGACTCATCGAATGGAAATCAATAGATATGAAAGTGGTTCTCATAGAACAAGAGGGAAATATACTAGAGTTCTACTTGAAAAATATTGTCAAGGGAAAGGAACACTAAAAATGTGCATCAAAAACATCTAATAATTTTAATTATGTTCCCAATCTAAATGAATCTCAGTAAAAATTGATACATCCGGTTCCATCCATGGCATACGAATAACTTTGTTCATTATCCAAGCACTTGGTACAATTTTGTATGAATATTTTTTATCATGAAAAAAATGATAATAAGCATTTAATCGATCATTTAGATTCTGTGGAATAGCTGTTGATGATAAACCATCTGATAAATATTTATCAATGCAATTATAATGTTTGATAAATGCATAATAATCATTATCAATTTGCAAATAATAAATAACTTCACCAAAACAAATTTCGTGATTTTGTGGACATTTATTACTTTTAACAGATATCCAATAGCTAATAGCATTGCCACTACGTCCATAAGATAATGAATGGAACGTTTTCAATGCTCGAAAATATCGAGCATATATTTTCGTCAATTTTGTTCTATCTAACTGAATATTTTTTTTATTACAACATTGTACAAATTTTTCGTGTGTGGATTCAACTAATGACTTAACTAGATATTTTCCATCAAAATGTTCATGTTGAGTTAAATAAGAAATATTTAATGTACTATCAGAATATAATATGCGGTCTACTTTGTACCAAGTATTAAATTGCTCGAGGATATATTTCTGTCCTTTACACCATTTGACAGCATTTCCAATACAGTGCGTTTGATAATTCACTGACCAAAAAAAAATTTGAATATCTCCCTTACGGCTCAAGCAAACGAGCTGGTTTTTTTTGTGTACTCAAAAAGTGAGTACACTCTAGAATCGGTCAGTATGTCCGTCCGTCCGTCCGTTAACACGATAACTTTTGAAAGGAGAGTCCAATCGCGATGAAATTTTCTACACAGTTCAGTCTTAACAATGTCTCGGTCGAGTTCGAAGATGAGAAGAATTGGCTGAACCATTC